TCATATCCAAGTCGAGAAGTAATGACTGTCTGTCTACTAGCAGCTCTGCTTTTCTTCCACACTTTTTGCAGGGTTTTTGAATCTTTATGGCCTGGCCAAATGGGAGAACCGCTCGACGAAGACGCAGCCATAACCGGACAGCTTAGCCTTAACTCTATTTTCCCGCCACTAGGAACCATCCGTAATGGTTTGCTCATCACAGCTTAGTCGCAACCTCCGTCACAAACATTCCCGTTATTAGGCATATCAACAAGTTCGCCGTGCTCCTGTTCAAGATCTTGTTTTTCAATCAAGACTCATACGATCAAGCACCATTTCTGAAAACTACTCAACAGTTTTATTTCTTACAGCCGAGACATTGAAAAATACTAGTGGGGGGTGTCGAGAACAACTATGAGTCAGGAATGTAGTCCCTGCGATTGATTTCTTTAGTCTCCTCGGGTAACATTTTTTTTTCAAAAGAAGGCTGTCAGTTTTCAATGGCATCAGAACACCGGCAGGCCTAACGTTCGACCTGAATTCCAGACGAATGTGAAATTACAGCAAATGTCGCGAACAAGGCAGGAAATGCCGCTCTAATTCTAATCGCTCTAACAACTTATTAAAGCCAGCAGCCAGGCAGGGTTTCAACTACTTGGTCATTAGGCGGACACCACATCCCCAGCCGCAACTAAAGTTTATAGGAAAATGTCTTAATTTCAAAACCTACCTCTAAAATGCACTGGAAGGGGTCGAAGTCCTCTTGGAGGGGCCGGATCACCCATAAAGAGGCGGTATCCGCCCAACATGAACCTGTGCGCGCCTGCTCGACTCAATCGTGCCGTTGCCGGGCCCGCCGCGCTGTATGATGGTCATTCCATAGGAAGCGCAATTGAAAGCGCTTCTCAATTCGATTGCGTGGCCAGATAGTTATGTATTTGCAAGCACTGCATGGCTATTTGGCTATCAATTCAATTGGAGCGCATGTACTACGGCAGGTTCGGACAACTCGACACTCACACGTCTCCCAAACGGCAGGGCCTCAAGTCCTGTCTAAGCCCGCTGCCCGAACGTTTTTCTTTCTCCATTGACCATACCTCTCACCTGCAACCGTCATTAGTAGGTGGTCCTTACCCGCGAATTCGTTCCTGGATTGTTGCTTTAAAAAATCGCTATGCCTTATGGATCGACCAGAAGAAAACACATTTCAAAAGAATTACGGCAAAGTTTTTCCGACAACCTAATAGTGGAATGTTCAGGAGAGGTCGTGACTAAGTTGAGGGTTCATCACTGGCTGAATCTTTCTAAAGGAAAATAGGGTTGCGACTAGTGGTTTGGCTAACTTTCGTCGGCTGGACCTCCCATTTCGCTGGTCTCAAATCTGAAAACCCTGCAAATGTGGAAGAAAAGCATAGTGTCCTATGAAGCAGACAATTCACTTTCGAATGGTATATGCCAAGGTGTAAAAGCTTGGAGAATTAGGCAAAAATTTTCTGCTCGAAAAAAAACCGACAGTACTTATGAGACAACCCAATAGATCAATTACCTTGAGGCTTTTTTCATGTGTGGAAAGGAAGATTCCACGATTAGTTCGGAGGTCGATGAAGAGGAAATACACTAGTCTAAAGACAGGCGGACCCTCTAAGGGTGAGGACCGACACGTAATTCATAGCAAGAGACGTGACCTCGGATACTAGCATTGGCGTCCCCAGCGGCGCTAGTGCCGTGGATCCCCTACCCCACTCTCAGCCCCAGCCGCTTAGCAGAGAGAGCGTAAATGTGGAATAGGAAGCATCGATGAAAGTCGCATAACTGTGGAAAACAACGGACAAAAGAGGAGCCCCATTTCTTGGGATCTGGGCCGTTTCTCGTGTTTTTTTTTGATTAGGGCACCATTGACCATTTCTACCTTGAATTCTAATGAGCGGCATTTTCATCGCGAGCCCCGCTCTGAAGTCTTATCGAGCCATCTATGTCACGCGTAACACACCACGAAAAGGACGCGTTTTGCACACTAATGTAGTATTCATTGATGCCCTTGAACATGATGCACATGTGAATTCTTTAGGAAAGCGCACTACACCTCAATTCCCCGTTGAGAGTTGAACCAAACGTCCATCCTCACCTTCTCAAATGTTGGCAGACACTGCAACGCGACACTACAGTGGGTCCCAAAAGCATAGGGACACCCTAGTTTTCTTCAGTATTTCTGTTATGAACCAATGATTTCTCTCCAAATTTCTATCAACAGTGCACTATTACACCAGGGTACAAATATATAAATGATATTGGAAAGAAAAAATTTTGCAGATTTTTGTGATTTTTTTTTCTGAAATCATGGCGTCCCGAAAGTATAGGGGCGCTCAGTTCCGCTGCAGTGTTTCCGAATAAGGTGAGCTGTGAAACCAATTTGTCACTGCTCTAGTTACCCCGCTTGTTCTTCAGTGCAATGCCACGAGAAGTGCAACTACATGACTTCGAGAAAGGCCAAAGTCGGGTTACAAGGATATGGGACTAGCCGCCGCAGCATTTTAAGGAAATTAGGACGTTCAGTCAACTTGGTGTGCAAATTCTGAACATCATCGACTTTACGGCACCAAAAAAGGAGCAGGAGATCTACGAAAGCTTTGGAAAGGCAGAAGCGCCGAATTTTCTATGCTGCATCCACCTCCATAAAGGGTGTGAGGCGGCTGAGTAAGAGTAGCACCTGATGTGTCTCGAAAAGTTTTGGTCATCGTGTGCTCAAATCATGTCCCCACATCGTTCAAGAGCAGTTTTTGACTACGTTTTTGACTACCATGTTTGAGGAGCGCGTATGGAAAAGCACGAGCCTTTTCGCAAAGGATCACGGATACATCAATGATGACGCAATTTGCACTGGCGGATTCCGCATGTAATATCATATAGTGTAGTGCTCCAGGTTAATTTTCCCGATGACAAGAAGTCTAATTTGAATAGACCCGACGGCCTGGCAAGCTACTGGCGCGATTTGAGGGAGGAGCCTCACTACTTTTCCAGACGCAGATTCGGTGGCCCTTCACCGCACTTCATAAGAGTGAACTGGTTTTTGACACGCAACGTCCAGGTGCTACAGGAACATCCCCCGAAACTATTCGGTACCATACATCCGGCGATTTCCACCCTTGAAGTTGAAATTCCAACGAGACAACGCTATGGTTCATGTAAGTGTCTCAACAATTCCAAGATAGAAACACAAGTTACCTGACTTGAATCTGATAGAGAACCTCTGGGGCATACTCATAGGAGAAGTTTACGAAAATTCCAGACAGTATGAGAACGAAAAACAGCTGAAAAACGCCGTCACGGAGGCTTGAGAGCAGATATCGCCGGAAACGATTTCAAGGTTTGCCCAAGCATGCCGAAGCGGGTGATTCAAGTTATCGCAATAAGAAAATTTTTACTTTTATTTATTATTATTTATTTGGACGCAGGGTACCTGCGTGGGAACAATACGATAACAGAGACAAAAAATATACCGACAACACAACAACCGATTTGCCGAGGAATAGCAACATTTTGGAAAGAGAAAAATTAAAAGCAGTCATAAAAAATCCTTCTATTATATAAAGCGCTAACTTTGTGTGTCGGTTTGTGTATCTGTATG